AAAATTTCCTCACAAGAAACAGTGCCCTATTAATTCTTAGGCAAGAACAGGCCTACTAGAAATTATATCCAGATTCCTTGAACATGGCCTTTTAAAACCCTTGCAATTCTTCCTGTAACATTCCTATTCTACTATAAATAAAACGGATGAGAAATACCAATTTGTTAAGGACTTAAGAATACTTAGTGAGGCATTAGTTCCTAGCCATCCTATGATTCCAAATTCCTATACTGTTCTCAGCAGAATACCATCAGGAACACAGTCCTTTTCAGTATTAGATTTAAAAGATGTCTATTTCTGTATCCCATTAGATCCAGCTTGTCAGTTTCTATTTGCCTTCGAATGGACAGGATTGCAGGGATTTCAACAGCAATTAGTTGGACTGGTCTTCTTCAAGGCTTCAGAAATAGCTCCCATCTCTTTGGGCAAGCCATAGCAGAAGATTTAATGGACCTATCTCTTGAGGGGGTGGAGAGAGCTTATAATGTTAATGACCTTTTAAACTGTTTCCCCACCAAAGAATTAGCCTGAGAACATTTAATCTAGACTTTAAATTTCTTGGCAAAAGGGGTATAAAGTTTTAAAGAAAAGGCACAGCTCCTAAAACAAAGAATAGGCTACTTGGATCTAATTTTAACAGCTGAAGAAATAATCCTATCCCAAATGAAAGTACAAACTATCCACAACATACCTCAGCCCACCACAGTTAGACATCTGAGAGCCTTTTGTGGGGGCTAACAGGATATTATAGGCTTTGGATCTTAGGATATGAAGAAAAGATCTCTGTATAATGCTCTATAGCAGTGGTTCTCAACCTTCCTCATGCCGTGACCCTTTACTTTTATTTTTATTTATTTTTTATCCTCACCCAAGGACATTTTTCCATTTTTTGGTCAGCTAGAGTGGAAGGGAGAGAGAGGGAGAGAGCGAGAGAGAGAAACATCGATGTGAAAGGGACACATCGAGTGGCTGCCACCCGCAAGACCAACCAGGGCCAGGAACAAACTGCAACCGAGGTACATGCCCTTAGCGGGAACCAAACCCGGACCACAGGCCGATGCTCTAAGTGCTGAGTCAAACTGGCCAGGGCTTTTTTTTTTTTTTTTTTTTGGTACGTGCCCCTAGCGGGAACCGAGCTCAAGACTCTCTGGTCCACAGGCCGACGCTCCAACTGCTGAGCCAAAACGGCCAGGGCGCCGTGACCCTTTAATACAGTTCCTCATGTTGTGGTGACCTCCAACCATAAAATTATTTTTATTGCTACTTCATAACTGTAATTTTGCTACTGTTATTAATCACCATTGGAAATAATGTGTTTTCTGATGGTCTTAGGTGACCCCTGTGAAAGGGTCGTTGGACTCCGAAAGGGGTGGCAACCCACAGGTTGAGAACTGCTGCTCTATAGGGAGAAAACATAATTATAGTGTTATACTTTCTGCTCCAACAGTCATTAAGGTACCAAGCATTGTCATTTGAATACATCACACCCAGGGAAAGCCATGCTCCAGCTCAAGCAAGAGACAAACCATAGAACTGCCCTCCAAACACTGGATGGCAGAGCCACTAGAAGTTTTAAAACTACTCCTAAAATAAAAGAAGTTACCTTTTAAAAAAATCGCACAGCCCTGGCCGGTTTGGCTCAGCGGTTAGAGCATCGGCCTGCGGTCCGGAGAGACCCGGGTTCAGTTCCTGCTAAGGGCATGTACCTTGGTTGCAGTTTGTCCCCGGCCCTGGTTGGTCGTGCGGGTGGCAGCCACTCGATGTGTCCCTTTCACATCGATGTTTCTCTCTCTCTCTCTCTCTTCCTCTCTCTCCCTCCCACTCTATCTGTGCAAAAAATGGAAAAAAATGTCCTCGGGTGAGGATAAATAAAAAAAAAATTAAATTAAAAAAATTTAAAAAAATCGCACATAGGATAAATAATAATAAATAATTAGATTTTAAAGCAGCCGATATTCTGGTGTGTTGCTTGTCTTATAGTATTTGACCAATACATAGAGCTTTGTATTTTTCTTTCAGGATGCAACTAGAATTCTCTCAAATGTCTATATAATCATTCTCCTCATTTGCTTATTTACTTATATACCACCAGCACCCTGGTTGAAGCTTGTTTTAAGCTTTTCTAATCAATCCCTTTAGGTACAAGATGACATCAAAAGCCTCATCATGCAAGCCACGGACCTTGAAAATAAATACAAAATTCCCTCTTGGTAGAGCCCTCTCACTTCTACCATCCTCCAATGAATAACTCTCTTTATCCCAATCCTATTAGGACTCTTTAAAAAAACAAAAACAAAAAAACTCCCCCATTTTTCCCCATTGACCCCCTCCTCCCCAATCCTGTCCTCCTCCAGCCTTCCCCACACTATTGTTGGTGCCCATCATTTATGCATATATGCATAGAAGTTTTTTGCTTTATCTCATCCTGCCCTCCCTTCCCCCTTCCCTTTGAGGTTCATCAGTCTAACAACCAATTTGTACTTCTTAATTCCTTCATCTTTTTCATCCCACCAGCACCCACCCATCTGGCAAGTAGCAAAAAGTTCTCAGTATCTGTGAGTCTGTTCTGCTCATTTTGTTTGTAGATTCAATTGTTGATAGATATGAATTAATTGCCATTTTATTGTTCATATTTTTGTTTTTCTTCTCCTTCAAGAAGACCCTTCAACATTTCATATAATACTGGTTTGGTGGTGATGAACTCCTTTAGCTTTTTCTTGTCTGGGAAACTCTTGATATGTCCATTGATTCTAAATGATAGCTTTGCAGGATAGAGTGGTCTTGATTGTAGGTCATTGCTTTTCATCACCTTGAATATCTCTTGCCACTCCTTTCTGGCCTGCAAACTTTCTTCTGAGAAATCAGTTGACAGTCTTATGGGAGCTCCTTTGTAGGTAACAAACTACTTTTTTCTTGCTGCTTTTAAGATTCTCTCTTTGTATTTAACCTTTGGAATTGTGATGATGATGTGTCTTGGTGTGGACCTCTTTGGGTTCATCTTGTATGGGACTCTCTGTGCTTCCTGGACTTGTATGTCTGTTTTCTTCACCAAGTTAGGGAAGTTTTCTGTCATTATTGTTTCAAATAGGTTTTCAATTTCTTGCTCTCTCTCTTCTTCTTCTGGCACCCCTATGATGTGAATGTTGGCACACTCTAAGTCTTCCCAGAGGCTCCTTACAGTAGCCTCATATTTTTGAATTTTTTTCTTTTTGCTGTTTGATTGGGTGTTTTTTGCTTCCTTATATTACAAATCATGGTTTTGCCCCTTGGCTTTGCCTACTGTACTATTGATTCCCTGTAAATTATTCTTTATTTTAGTTAGTGCATTCTTCATTTCTGACTGGCCCTTTTTTATGTTTTTGATGTTCTCACTAAGTTCCTTGAAGGTCTCACCAAATTCCTTGAGCAACCTTATAACCTGTGTTTTGAACTCTGCCTCTGATTGATTGCTTATCTCCATATTGCTTAATTCTTTTCCTGGAGTTTTGTTATTTCATTTGGGACATGTTTCTTTGTCTCCTCATTTTGGATGCTTCCCTGTGATGTTTCTATGTATTAGGTAGAGTTGCTATGTCTCCTCGGCTTTGTAGGGTGGCCTATTGTTGCAGGTGCCCTGTAGAATCCAGTGGCACAGCCTCCCTGATCACTCCAGCTGTTCCCTTGAGGTGCACCCCTAGTGTGGACTATACACCCTTCTGTTGTAATTGAGTCTTGATTGCTGTTGGCATGTCAATGGGAGGTATTTACTTAGGCTGATCAGCTGCAAGGACTGGTTGTGCCCACTGACCACTGGCCTCTGACTCCCTTGGGGGATCAGATGTGCAGGGGCCCACCACACAGAGCAAGATGTACTTCAGTAGGGCTCTGGTACCCAATGAGTTTACTCGTTGACTGTGTCACTTGTGGAGGTGGTTGGGTGGTGGTGTTTCGATGTGGTCTGAAGCTGTCCACTGGGTGTGCTGGCTCTGTGGCAAGGTCAGCCACCGCCTGTGTTCTATCCAGGGCTACAAAGTGATCTGCCAATGGCTGATTCTTGTGCTGGGCTTGGAGGTGCCAGGCAAAGTCAAGCTGTGAACCAAGTGGCTGCTTCTGGGGCCACTTAATGAGAGGTATGGAGCTCGCTGAGACCAGATGCTGCTTATGTGAGAGATTTTAGAAAATCTGGTGTAGGAGCCAAGACAGGCCAATCCTATGGTAAAGCCTTTGGAAACAGCTTGGGTGGGCCTGAAGGCTGAGTGCGGTAGGGCCTCAGGGAATCACCAGGGCAGGGCAAACAATGTGAGCCAGGTTGCTGGAGTCCCAGATATGGTGGCTGTCTGCGACCTAGGAGAAGGGCTCATCAGCCTCCGCCAGCACATCAGCATGTCTGTCCAGGAGAAATCCGCCTCTCCAGCCCTCATCCTGAGGCCAAATGGCTCAGTTCTTCCCTGTATGTCTCTGGAACCCCTCAAGCTGCCTTTCCTCCAAGCTTAGAGGGAAGTCTGAGTAAGTCCATGTGCGCAGGCTTTTTAAGAGGAACTACTTGGGGCTCCAGCAGCCTTAGCCTCCCTCAGCCTCAGTTCCCACTGGTTTTTCCAGCCAGAAGTTATGGGGACTTCTCTTCCTGGCACTGGAACCCTGAGCTGAGCACCTGGTGTGAGATGGGGACCCCTCAGTCGTCAGGGAGGACCTTCCCAGCTGAAGTGGCCCTCCTGATTTTTATCCGCCACACGTGGTATGGGACCAGCCTATCCGCACCTCCACCCCTCCTACCAGTTTAGATGTGGCTGCTTCTTTAATTTTGTAATTGTACAACTTCCACTCAGCTCAATTTCAGGTGGTTTTGAATGATGGTTATGCTGTAGTTTAGTTGTAATTTTGATGTGGTTGTGGGAAGAGGTGAGTACCACATATACCTACACTGCCGTCTTGACCAGAAGTCTGTATATACCTATTAGGACTCTTAATAATCCTAATTTTTGGACCCCAAATTCTAAATACCCTTTTCTCCTTTATTTCAGATCAAATACAAGCTGTAAGACTCCAAATAATAATGGTTCAAGGATTTCACCCAATCCTGGATATGCCTGTGACCTCCTTAAATCAGCCCATGCAACAACACCCACTAGATCAAGTTACACAATGCTTCCATTCCACCCTAACCTAGCCACTCCCAGACAGAGAACAAGAAATATCAACCAACTCACTTCTATGTCCAAACTCAGCAAGAAGTAGATTCAGAAGTCAGAACAATGTCCCTCAACTTCCAAAATAAATTTGGCCGATAACTCTTGAGAGGGAAAATATTAGAGTAGGCCAATAAAAGATATGAGATGGGAGAGGAGGCTGGGGCTTTGAGAGAATATGTGTAAAATGTGACAAACCAAAAATAGGCAACGGAGGGAGCAGACCCCTCTGTGAGGAGAGAAGACTCAGGGCCTCTCCAGGATGTGGTCTAACTGGCGGCATGACACCCAGGTGAAGGAGCCTTAGAGATCAAAGATACCTTTTTCTGAGACATGAGGGAGTGGGTGACTTGCTCCTTGCCTAGGGGCATAAATCTTCTGAACTCCCAAATATCAGGGCACCGGGTTTGATCTCAGCCAGATGAGCTGCCTGCTCAGGGCACTTGGTTTGGTTTTGGCTGAGTTGCCCACTCATGTTCTATCTGAATGTATTGCTATTTCTGTGAATAAATTCTTGCCTGCTTTTGCTGCTATTTGTTGTCTCTTATTTAATTAATTTATACATGCAAGAAAACAACTGGGGGTGCAGATATTGTCTCTGGCCAGAGGCTATCTCCAGCCAGAGGCCCCTCTTGACCACCACTGACAATTCTGTTATTTTCACTGATCAGGGTACATGGCCTTTCTGCAACTTTCTCTGAACCCCAGTGATGAAATCTCTAGGAACCAAGTTCTAGGGGAACTTTGAATGTCCCTAGCTGTTGAAATAGCTTTGATTTGTGAATAAATATTTTTGTGTTCTTGGGCACCTTGTTATATATGCAACCTATAATAATGAAGAGTTTTGGTATTAAATTACATTAAGACATTTTCCCCATCCAGATTCTGCCTGCATATACTTGTTAGAGTAAACAAATTCTATTCTTAAACCCTCAGATTGAACAGTTTGTCAGTTTTGAATGAGTTGGATTGACAATTCAATGCTCCTATGGAGATTTTGTGGCAAACAGGGACAACCCATTAGCAGGAAAATGTCCTGAAATAACTGTGCATAAGACAAGATTTGCCAGCAATGCAGTTTACTTATTTAGAGCCCCAGCCCAAGGCTGATGCTCAGGGTTTTGGGGGTAGTGGGAGGTTCTACAATGACATATTACCAGAGTTAGATTTAGAGGTATAGTTTTATGAGAGCTGATTCATTTATGCAAATCAAGTCTCTATTGATTGAAGAGGTCTTAATGATTACTTTCCTCTGGCTTCTCATGGAAGAAGCCATCCAAGGCAAGCCAGGCGCCACCCATTAAGCATATTTCTAACCAACTGGCATCAGAAGAAAAGATAGCTCAACTTTCCAATGATGATTCTAGCAGAAAAAGCGTTTGTGAAAGTGATGATGAGAGGCACTTGACCTCATTCACAGTAGCAAAAGAGGCTTGAACAGGTAGCTGAGATACAAACTGGTGGCTGCATTTGGAGGGGAAAGAATGAAAGAGGATTGAGGAGCAGGTGGCAGCAAAAAGTCAAAGTTTAGAGAAAGAACATTTTCCAGTGGGTTGATATTTCTTGGTGGATATTTCTTATCTTTGCTTCAACAAGTCCTTCCATTGACAGGCTAATATCATATACATAAAAATAGAGGTCTCACTCTAAATCTACAGAGAAGGAAGTTATATTTGGTGGGAACCTTTTGAGAAATCAAGGACATGCCTTAAATGAGCAGGCCAAGCACCAGTAGGGCTTCTACTCAAGAATTTCCAATTCTGCCCTGGCCGGTTTGGCTCAGCGGTTGGAGCGTTGACCTGCGGTACAGAGAGACGCGGGTTCGGTTCCCGCTAAGGGCACGTACCTCGGTTGCAGTTTGTCCCCGGCCCTGGTTGGTCATGCGGGTGGCAGCCACTCAATGTGTTCCTTCACATCGATGTTTCTCTCTCTCTCTCTCCCTCTCTCTCCCTCCCACTCTATCTGAACAGAAAGTGGAAAAGTGTCCTCGGGTGAGGATAAAAAAAAAAAAAAAGAATTTCCAATTCTTTGACTCCAGCCCAGAACACTCTCATATCCAAAAGTCAAAAACATCTCTGCTTAACTGAGGTTGCTTTTCCTCCCTCCCAGGCTCCACCCCCGTCCTCTGATGGCCCTTCTCAATGAAAGGCAGCCCTACCTGCCCAATCACTGGACCAGGGAGACTTTTCCTCCTCAGGCACTCACACCCCATCCTAACACACATGCACACCTTCACCTGTCACTTGGGAGGGAAAGACATTCTGCAGGTAGCAGAGCAGCATATTTATATAAAGTATTGTGAATGATAGTATAATATTAGAGAATCATTTTAGGAAGAATAGTTATTAGCTAACCCAACATACTGAGAGAAGGAGGGAGGGAGACAGAGAGAGCCAGCCCATGGACATTCTACATTAGAAGAGCATCCAGGGAGCTGGTCTTGAAGTAACTTGAAGTTCAGTAGGAGTTATTTATTCTTTCTTTGCGCAAAAATATTCAATAATAACTCTGACACAAACTCTTAGGCACCACAGGAATGCATAGGCATTTCCCCTTCAGCTGGGAGTGTTTGGTGGTGGCAGCCAGATGGAAAGGGAATGGAAGGCTTGCAGCTTAACTTAGCCCCACTGTGTCATGGCCTCCCCCTTTTCTGGTCTCCCTCCTTTCTGAACTCTTGCACATATGACCCTATAGAAAGTGTCTGGACCCCAAGAGACAAGATTTAATGTTTGCTGCACTACCCATTCTGTTTGAATTTGGGTCTCCAGAGCTAGGCATTTCTTTTATTAGATAATGTTTTATTTTATTTTATTTTTTTAATTAATATATTTATTTTTGTTACAGATGTTTCTCTCCCCCCCCCCACTGATTCCCCCCTTCTTCACCCACCCGCCCTGTCCCCAGCTTTGTTGTCCATGTCCATTGTTCATGTACACATGCATATAAATTCTGTGGTTTATCTCTTCCCCACCACTCCCTCTTCTGAGGATTGTCAGTCTGTACCCCACTGCCACGTCTCTGGGACTACCCCATTACTCAGACTATGTTTATTATATTCCAAATATAAGTGAGATCATATGATATTTATCTTTCTCTGTTTGGCTTGTTTTGCTTAGGATAATATTTTCCAGGTCCCTCCATGTCGTGCCAAAGGATAAGAGATCTTTCTTTCTTACAGTTGCATAGTACTCCATTGTGTATATATACCACAGCTTTTTATTCACTCATCTACTGATGGACACTTGGGTTGTTTCCAGATCTTAGCTATTGTAAATAGTGCTGTTATGAACATGGGGGTAAATATATTCTTTCTGATTGGTGTTTCGGGTTTCTTAGGGTATATTCCTAGAAGTGGGATCACTGGGTCAAATGGCAGTTCAATTTTTAATTTTTTTAGGTAATACCATATTGTTTTTTTATAGTGGCTGCACCGGTCTGCATTCCCACCAGCAGTGTTCTAGAGTCCCCTTTTCTCCACATCCTCGCCAACATGTTGTTTGATGATATGTTGATGGTGGCCATTCTGACAGGTATGAGGTGATACCTCATTGTTGTTTTAATTTGCATCTCTCTGATGATTAGTAATGTTGAGCATTTCTTCATATGTTTCTTAGCCATTTGTATATCCTGTTTGGAGAGGTGTTTATTTAGTTCCTCTGCCCATTTTATAATTGGAGTCTTTGTCTTCCTTTTGTTGATTTTTTTGAGCACTCTATATATATTGAAAATTAACCCTTTATCTGATATGTCATTGGCAATTATGCTCTCCCATACAGTAGGTTGCCTTTCCATTTCGATGATTGTATCTTTTGCTGTGCAGAAGCTTTTGAGTTTGATGTAGTCCCATGTGTTCATTTTTTCCTTTGTTTCTGTTGCCTTAGGTGATGCATCAGTGAAAATTCTGTTGTTTTTGATGTCTGAAATTTTGTTGCCTATATATTTTCTTCTAGGATTTTTATGGATTCACAGGTCACATTTAAGTCTTTTATCCATTCTGAGTTTATTTTTGTGTATGGTGTAAGTTGATGGTCTAGTTTCATTTTTTTTTTTTTTTGCATGTAGCTGTTCAATTTTTCCAACATTTATTTAAGAGGCTGTCTTTACTCCACTGTATGCTCTTGCCCCCTTTGTCGAATATTAATTGAGCATCTTGTCTTGGGTCCATTTCTGGGTTCTCTATTCTGTTCCACTGGTCTATCTGCCTGTTTTGTGCCAGTACCAGACTGTTTTGATGACAGTAGCTTTGTAGTATAACCTGAAATCTGGTAATGTGATCCCTTCAACTTTGTTCTTCTTTTTCAAGATTGCTGTAGCTTTTAGACGTCTTTTTTGTTTCCATATGAACTTTTGAAGTATTTGTTCTAGTTCTGTGAAGTATGCCATTGGTATTTTGATGGGGATTGCATTGACTCTATAGATTGCATTGGGTAGTATGGATATTTTAATGATGTTAATTCCTCCAATCCATGAACAAGGTTTGTGCTTCCACTTTTTTTTATATATTCCTCTTTCTTTTTTAAATTTATTTTATCTTTATTGTTGAATGTATTACAGATGTTCCTCATTTTTCCCCCATTGACCCCTTCTCCCCACTCCCACTTCCCTTCCGCTTCCTTCCTGCCTTTTCCCACAGTTGTCTGTGTCCATTGGTTGTGCATATATGTTTTTTGGTTTATTTCTTCCCAACCCCTAACCCCCTTACCATTGAGGTTTGTCAGTCTAGCAATGAATTTGTACCTCTTAATCCCTTCACCTTTTTCACCCATCTGGCAACCAACAAAATGTTCTCAGTATCTATGAGAATGTTTCTGTTCTGCCTGTTCATTTTGTCTGTAAATTCAATTGTTGACAGCAATGTATTTATTGCTATTTTGTTTGTTCATATATTTTATCTTTTTCTTCAAAAAGACCCTTCATCATTTCATATAATAACGGTTTGGTGGTGATGAACTCCTTTAACTTTTTCTTGTCTGGGAAACTCTTTATATGGCCATTGATTCTAAATGACAGCTCTGCAGGATAGAGTAATCTTTGTTGTAGGTTCTTACTTTTCATCACTCTGAATATTTTTTGCCACTCCCTTCTGGCCTGCAAAGTTTCTTTTGAGAAATCAGCTGACAGCCTTATGGGAACTCCCTTTAGTAGGTAACTAACTGCTTTTCTCTTGCTGCTTTTACGATTCTCTCTTTGTCTTGAACATTTTGCATTTTGATGATGATGGGTCTTGGTGTGGGCCTCTTGGGATGCATCTTGTTTGGGACTCTCTGTGCTTCCTGGACTTGTATGTCTGTTTCCTTCACCAAGTTAGGGAAGTATTCTGCCATTATTGTTTCAAATAGGTTCTCGATTTCTTGTTCTCTGTCTTCTCCTTCTGGCACCCCCAAGATGCGAATGTTGGCACGCTTGAAGTTGTCCCAGAGGCTCCTTACACTATCCTCATTTTTTTTTCTTTTTGCTGTTTTGATTGGGTGTTTTTTGCTCTCTTATATTCAAAATTGATGGTTTGCTTCTTGGCTTTACCTACTCTACTATTGAATTTGTGTAAATTATTTTTTATTTCAGTTAGTGCCTCCTTCATTTCTGATTTTCTTTTTTTTTTTTATGCTCTTGAGGTCCTCACTAAATTCACTGATGTTCTCACAAAGTTCACTGAGCATCCTTATAAGCAGTATTGTGAACTCAGCATCTGTTATGTTGCTTATCTCCATTATGCTTAGTTCTTTTCCTGGGGTTTTGTTCTGTTTTTTTTCAATTGGGACCTGTTTCTTTGTCTCCTCATTTCAGCTGCCTCCCTGTATTTGTTTCTGTGTATTACTTAATGAGAGGTGTGAAGCTATCTGAGACCAGATGCTGCTTGTTTGAAAGAATTTAGAAAAACCTGAAGCAGGATCCAAGACAGGCCAATCCTATGGTTAAGCAACTGGCAACAGCTTGGATGGGCCTGAAAGTTGGGTGGGGTGTGGCCTCAGGGAATCACCAGGGCGGGGCCACCAGTGTGTGCCTGGTTGCTGGAGTTCCAGATATGGTGGCTGTCTGCCGCCCCAGGGAAGGACTCACCAAAGGAACAAAGGCCTCTGACAGCACATTTGTTCCAGAGAAAGCCCCCTCTCCAGCCCTCGCCCCAATGCCAAACAGCTCAGTTCTTCCCTATATGTCTCTGGTGCCCCTCAAGCTGCCTCCCCTTCAAGCTTAGAGAAAGTGAGTCCAATAAGTCTGTGCATGAGCCCTTTAAGAGTCGCTGCCTAGCTCTCCATCAACCTCCCTGAGCCTCAATTTTCACTGTTTTTTTTTCAGCCAGAAGTTATGGGGATTACTCTTCCTGGCACTGGAACCTTGACCAGGGTGCCTGGTGTGGGTCGGGGACCCCTCAGTCCTCTGGGAGGACCTTCCCAGCCTCCTGATTTTTATTCGCCACACGTGGGTGTGGGAACAGCCCGTCCACCTCTGCCCCTCCTACCAGTATCTATGTGGCTGCTTCTTTAATTCCGTAGTTGTATGACTTTCATTCAACTTGATTTCAGGTGGTATTGAATGATGCTTGTTCTGTAGTTTAGTTGTAACTTTGATGTGGTTTTGGGAGGACACGATACCGCATTTACCTAAGCCACCATCTTGACCAGAAGTCCCTCTATTTGTTTTTTTTAATGACCTGTGAATAGGTCATTTATTTCTTTGGTTAAGTTTATTCCTAAGTATCTTAATTTTTTTGCCACAATGGTAAATGGGATTTTTTTTGTTTCTCTTTCTGTGAGTTCATCATTGGTGTATAAGAATGCTGTTGATTTCTTGACGTTAATTTTGTTTCCTGCTACTTTGTCAGATTCATTTATTAAGTCTAGTAAATTTTTGATGGAGTCTTTGGGGTTTTCTACGTATAGTATCATGTCATCTGCTAATAATGACAATTTCACTTCCTCCTTTCCAATTTGGATCCGTTCTATTTTTTCCTCCTGTCTGATCACTGTGGCTAAGACTTCCAGTACTATGTTAAATAAGAGTGGCAAAAGTGGGCATCTTTGTCTTGTTCCAGTTATTAAGGGAAATGCCCATTGAGTATGATGTTGGCTGTAGGTCTTTCATATATGGCCTTTATTATGTCAAAATATGATCCCTCTATTCCCAGATTGCTGAGCGTTTTTTATCAGAAATGGGTGCTGGATTTTGTCAAATGCCTTTTCAGCATCTATTGATATTATCATATGATTTTTATCTTTCATTTTGTTTACGTGGTGTATCACATTTATTGATTTATGAATATTATACCAGCCTTGCATTCCTGGGATGAATCCCACTTGGTCATGGTGAATAATTTTTTTGATGTATTGCTAGATTGGATTTGCTAGTATTTTCTTCAGGATTTTGGCATTTATGTTCATCAGGGATTTTGGCCTGTAGTTTTCTTTCTTTGTAGTGTCTTTTTCTGGTTTTGGAATTAGAATTATGCTGGCCTTATAAATTGAGTTCGAAAGTCTTTCTTCTTCTTGAATTTTTGGAAATAGTTTGAGGAGAATGGGTATTAGTTCTTTGAATGTTTGGTAAAATTCCCTCGTGAAGTTGTCCAGGAATGGACTTTTGTTTCCTGGGAGAGTCTTGATTACCTCTTCAATTTATTTTCCTGTTATTGTTCTGTTCAAGTTTTTTATCTTTTCTCAGTCCAGTTGTGGAAAACGATGTGTTTCTAGAAATTTGTCCATTTCGCTTAGATTGTTGAATTTGTTGCCATATAATTGTTCCTAATATTTGTTAACAATCCATTGTATTTCTGTGGTGTCAGTTATTATTTCGCCTCTTTCATTTCTGATTTTGTGTATTTGGGCTCTCTCTGTTTGTTTCTTGGTGAGTCTAGCTATCAGTACATCAATCTTGTTTATCTTTTCAAAGAACCAGCTCTTTCTTTCATTGATCCTTTGAATTGGTTTTTTTTTTTTTTTTTGTCTCCATGTCATTTATTTCTGCTCTGATGTTTACTATTTCCTTCCTTCCACTTGCTCTGGGGTTTCCTTTTTGTTTGCTTTCTAGTTCTTTAAGTTGTGAGGTTAGATAGTCTATTAGAAATTTTTCTTGTTTCTTGAGGTTAGCCTGTAGTGCTATGAACTTCCCTCTCAGAACTGCTTTTGCTGCATGCCATAGATTTTGTGTTGTTGTGTGTTCATTTTCATTGGTTTCAAGAAATTTTTAATTTCTTCCTTGATTTCCATGATAAACCATTCATTGTTCAATAATATGCTATTTAGCCTTTATGTTTTCAAATATCTTTGCAAGTTCTTGTTGCAGTTGATTTCTAGTTTCATGCTATTGTGACCTGAGAAGATGCTTGATATGATTTCACTCTTCTTGAACTTGTAGAGGCTAAGTTTGTGCCCTATCACGTGGTCTATTTTTGAGAATGTCCCATGTGCACTTGAGTAGAATGTGAATTCTGCAGTTTGGGAATGTAATTCTCTGTAGATATCTATTAAATCCATTTGATCT